TCATGCACGTATTTTGGCATTTGCACGTTGTTTCCAGTGTAAAGACGGGTAGGTTGTTGGCTACACAAGAATAGGCGATGGCAGGGTGCGGTGAAATGGGGAGAGTGAAGGGAGGCAGATGGTTGTCAAAAACTAGCAATCGTTTTGTTCCGGAACAAGTTCCAAGAATGTGTTCCCTAGTAGTCGTTCCATGCCTCCTTCCCCAGATGTGTCGTGGAGTGCTTCTGCCCCCCCAAGATTTACCCGACGATGGTTCAAACGTTTGCCCCCCAGTCCAAAATAAACCTGATGCTTGAGCAACAGGATCATTCGACGTGTGTTTTTGTATATGGTACTGAATCTTTGATGAAAACGCTGCCGTTGCTTTTATTATGCTTGGGTAAGGTGCTGACCCTCCGCCGGTGTCATCGTTTACCACCACCAACAAGATTTCCATCTCTTCGCCACAAACGCTGTTTCCAAGAGCAGGAATTGGCAGAGGAACCCCCCAGTTCTTATCGGCGTTCTCGAACAATGGTTAATGCCCTGAACACTGAATCTACACGTTGCCCTTGCTCAGGATCTCTACTACAACTACGAAACGATGGCATGCTTGCCCTTCTTGTGAAGCAGCGGCCCGCCTCTAGCGATCCCAAGAACTCCCCCTGCTCACGCACCCAATCCGAACACATGCTCACTGGGCAGAGAAACGCTTGTTCTTCCACAAGACCACTGTCTGTACGCATGGGAACACCTCCATTCGCCGTGGTTTCCAGACCACCAACGGCTTGTTAGTGGAAAGGGGAAGAAAGACTCGCCTGTGGGAGCTTCCCGACCCCGATTCCATCCAGCACTTCCGCCCTGGCCCTGTCGAAGATGAAGGTGGAAGAGGCCTTCTGCTGGAGGGTGGTGGTAATGCACGCCTCCGAGATGGGCAACGCTGTGGCGTGCAGGACGCCCTTTCGGAAGTACTTGTCGAGGATGCGCATCGTCGTGGACTATGTGGACATCCGGTTTTTGCATACAGCAGTAACGGCAAGGGTTGTGGGAGGCGTCAGGGTGTGCTAAGGGGAGCTACCGCGGCTTGTTCATACGCCCAGGTGCTTCGTGAGAGCTGCGAGTTTGTGTGGGGCGGTTTTTCCCTAAGCCTCGTCGCCGCAGATACGGCTGTACGTTTCCTGAGATGTGGGATGGGGCCGGCAGCAGATGAAAAGTTTGTCGGTTTGACATACATAGATGCTTGGGCTTTACCGCATGTTTGCTCAACCATCTTCGTTGGAAAACAGTAGCAGAGACACTAGCGCACGTACCCAGGAAAACTAAAGAAGTCTGGGGTACCGTGCGGCGCAACCGCCAGCGCATCTGAAGCAAGAAAAACATTCGATTTATCATACTTGGAAAATTCGGTGACGGTCGGGTAACTGCTGGGCCGAATCACACACTGAGTGTTTGCACTCACCACGAGTAGCGACGTTCTCGTTTAAAGTCGAGAGAAAGACGAAAGAGACGAATACTAATGGACGACGACCACGACGACAGCGACGACAACGACGAAGAGGAAGAAGAACAGGAGCAAAAAGAGTGTCATCAGGTGGGTTGTCACTCGTTCGCGATGCCTACCTGGAGCTTGGGGTAGCTCGTGATCTCCTCGCGGGCAATGAGAGCCCGGAAAAATTCGTCGACGACGGGAAAGTTCGGGACGTTCCTGGAGGAGCTGGCCACTTCTTGGAACTTCCGACTCTGCATGATGATGTAGTCCAACTTTTTCTTCGAGCGCCACTCGCCGATGCAGAAGTCACCGCTGAGAGGAAACGCACGTGTTGTGAGTGAGATGTAACGTGTTGAAGTAGGGGTAAGGCTATTAGTACCGAAGACGACAGGGAGATGGTTTGACGTGGTTGTGCGGTCCTGCGCTTGGGAACCGAGACAAAATGCATTTAGTGGGGCTCGGGATGACACCGTTTTGCGGACCTTCTGCCCACCTCCGACCAGAAACATCGCAGCACTTGCACCGCTCATCGGCGGGATATTCCGACCGCCGGTATCGGCCACCAACTGGCATGAGGCTGGTCTTCGTACCCACCCGCAGAAAAATCATCACAGGCTGATGCTTTTTTTCGTTTTTACTTTTTTTGCTGCTTCCTTTTGATTTTCTCTTTTCCTCTTTCTCTTTCTTTTTTCTCCCTTTTTCAGTGTCAGATGGCCTGGTCGCTTCTTGCGTTGCGAAGTACCACGATTAAAGCAAGGGGGTGCACCTCTTTCTCTCTGGCCCGTGATGCTGCCTCCTAGTCTCAGTTGTTACCTCGCATAGCGCGCAGAGGGAGCGGAGGACTCCAGAATATATGTCGTTGATTTCTATTGACTTGCGGACCCCTGGGGCCATTTTATTTGAGTGTACCTTTTTAGGGTAAAATAGCCTGTGACCACGGGAATCGGCCGCGTGAAGGGTTGGATCATTACGGACATCTGAAGGTGCAGGGTAGAGAGATATCGGAACGGCTGTTCATGTGAAGACAACAACAACAACAACAACAACAACAACAACAACAACAACAACAACAACAACGACAACAACAACGACAACAACAACAACTATGGCACTTGCTCCCTGTAGTTCAGACGACAGCGCCCGGCGTCTGATTTCGAAGACCTACTTGGGCGTTGGAAACAACAACAGTCTAGCACCCACCTGCTCTTGAGCTTCTCCTCGTCGCTGATATAGCTATAGAGGAATCGCAACGCCGGGGCCGCCACGATGCCAACGCCTGTCAGCGCCGTGGTCAGCAGCGTTATCTCTCGACGGCCGTCCCTGTCCCCCTCCATCTCCCAGTGGACCAGTGGGAGGGCGGCGGCAGCGACGGCCAGGATGACGGAGATAGCCAAGGCCGTCTCGAACTCGTATGGCGCCTGATCGAATAATGTGTCGTAGCGGGGATCGAGGCAGGAGAGGGAATCGAATATCACAACTCTGTACCGCTACCGTTCAGACCGAAAGAGATGGTTTTGTCAAGGTTGCTCGGTGTTGTTGACGCCGCGCTGCCCCGAGAAAGGTCGTTTTTTCTGATTATCTCTATTCTTCACCGTTCTCCTAGCTATGGGCTTGGACAAGAAATTGTTCTCCAACCAGGCTTGTTTCCGACTGTGGAAGAGTGGGACCTGTGAGCGAAGAGAATCGACGGAGACCATGCCGGGAATTGCATCGGTGATTTTTTTTTTTTCTCCCATCATTGGACTCTGTCGTCTGCCCCTCTGGCCCCTATCCTCCACTTCTACTAGCAAGACGACCCAACCGGGGTCATATAGGAGGGGGGGGCTGGACCCCCTCCTGCGATTCATGCCTGAGGTATTCTTTTCGCGAGAAGGGTACAGCAATCTCTTCCCTCGCGACCTACGAAGTCGATTGTGGTTTACTAACAACGAGCTTTGCAGCGCGTCGCTTTCATCCTAGACCAGGATTTATTTAGTGAGAAAAAACTCACTCTGCCGGGACTCGAACCCATGACCTGGCCCTCAGCAGGCTGCGAGGTTACCCACTAGACCACCGGGGCGACCGGTGGTGATGGCGGCGGAATCGAACAGTGGGGGGAACAACACACGCACTTCGCACGAATACTGCGGGTGTGCTTTATTCTGGAGATCAAAACCAACGAGTGGCGATCTTCGACGTTACCGCGAAAGCGACCGCGAGAAACAACAAGAACTCCCGGAGGTGTAGCTTGATACCAGATTTACTAGAAACCGTGCCAATGGACGGGCTGGTGGTTGGTTGGGTAGCTTCTCCGCGAGGTGTCAAATACTCGCTGGCTGTGTGACTACCCAAAGCTGGAAGAGAATAGAAGAAGCAGAGAACAACTCTGGAGACCTTTTTCAGTGCCACGGCGTTTGTTTGGTTGGGGCGATGGAGGACAGTACTCAGCGCTATCAATATCTTCCAAGACGCTGTGTTGGTGTGTGCGTGTGCTGTGGCGCGCGGGAGAATACCCTGCAGCCCGACAGAAATACTGATACACTTGAGGCAACTAAGCACTGTGTGGGAACGACTACCCCAACGCCGCTCCCACACGAGGTTTTGATGTCTGCCGTTTTGTTGGGGTGATATCGGTGTCAGCACGCCCAGATGGGTCCGTTTCCATTGTACAACTCCAAGTGCGGCGCGTGACAACAAACCCCGGAAACAACCTCGACCCCTCCCGCGGCACTCTAGTGTACATGGAACCCGTACCTGCACGCGGACCACACGGAGCCGAAAGGCCAGCACCAACGAAAACGCCGCGAGGATGCCCATCACGACGAACGCTGACCACTCGGGCACGGTCGACTCTGGCTGACACTCCATGGAGGCGGGGTCAAACATCGCCACGCTGGAGCTCGACAGGAACGCCGGTGCCAGCGTGAATGGCAGGAGCAGTAGGGCTAACTGCTTCCGTTTCGTCCGCGGTTGAAGTTGGAGAATTTCGTCACCCAGGCGCATTTTCGTTGTTATGGCCGGAGTGGGGTAAGGGTGAGCGGGCGGGGTGAACGAGGGCGGGTGCAGGAGCGCATTGACCAGTTCAAGCGAGGTTGCTGGATCTATTGGTAGCACCACAGCTAGATTAGCTGGAAACTGGTGGCAGCCACTTATTTTGCCATCCAATCCTCCCGGGTTCCTTCTGCGGCAAAGTGGGAGGGTCACCATCTTCGAGAACGCTGAGTATAAACTTGTTGGTCATGGCAGCATTGAAATTCGCAAGTTTCTAGAGGTATTGGTAATGGTAGGTTATGGTACACTACCTCTAGGCAAGTCAACGGGCGGACGGTGAATTGGTTCTTTTATGTTCTTTCAACAGCGTGGGCAAGACCTCCGCTTACACCAATATGGTGAAACCGCAAAGCTTTCCCAATCAATCTGCCATTGCTTGCTCTCGCACCTCATGAGGGACGAAAAATGTTTGTTCTGACTGACCTGCGCCACGACCGGCCACATGCCCCCATCCTGCCGAATCAGAACGTCGTGAGCGCGGTAAACTCGGAGGAACGCGGTCGAGAACAGCGCCCCCAGGCCAATCCACGTGAAAGAAGCCACCACATCGCACCCTAGCGCCTCCCCGTCCGATCCCCACAGTCCGTACCTCATGCTGACTCCCAACGTCGCGATTATCGCCTTTGTACGTGATACCAATTAGGCGCATGCAAGGTATAGTGGTGTGTGGTAGCCGAAAAGGGGGTACACGAGCATACTTGAGGCCGCATTTCACAGGAGGCTAAATTGAAACATCGAACGACCGCGTCCAAGCTAAGTCGTGGATAACCTATTGCGTGTTAGCTCAATATCTGCTTCGAATGAATGGGTTCAATTTCACTTTCCGTTCTACCTCCATCCACGCGCCAGGATTGAGCATACAACCTGCGGTCACTTCTCACGATTCCTACCTCCCTCTTGCAATGCCAGCCCGTGTTACGCGGAATTTTCAGCCATGATTTTGAAATACGCAACGGCCGAAGGTGAAAGGCAAATTGTCGTTTTCGGTTTTGCGTTGACCCGGTTGTCGAAAAAGTTCCCTGACGTCTTCTGAAATTAAGCGGAACTAATGTTTCCGATTATTCAGAACAAGGTATTGACGGTATGGTGAGGTGCGGCTAGGAATGGCAGAGGGCCGCCGCTGCACTCAAGACTCCGAGCGGCTTGACCCTTCACTTCTTCTTGCCGATTAAGAAAACATCTTCTAATTGCACATGCATTTGTATATCGATGTAAGTACTGTTCGAAGGCGTTGTTCGCTACTGGAAATAAATCGCTAAGCTAGCTCGTTTGCATGCTTTTTTCGCCCACCGACAGAAAATGTCTCTTCTGGAGGGTCACAAGAACGCGTAGCTCCACAATTTCCCTTTAACGTATTGCACTACCCAACCATGCTGTAGTAAACTAGCGTGTGAGCATATTCCTCATTTTTGCCCTGTTCTGCATGAACGCGCTGATCTCTTTGCACACGATGCCCTGAAAGTATCAACTCGCCTTCGTTCTGGATTAACTCAGGCAGCGAAACATTCGTACACCTACCTAGATAGTAAATATAGGTATGCGCAAAAGAGAGTCAGACTCGGTGGCTCAAGCGCGGGAATTGCACGAGTTGTCTGGTGGTAGGGGGTGCGACCCCACAAAGCTGCTGAAAGTTCGCGGTCCATACTGCAGCAGTACTTCGTCACACTAGACTCGGTCGTATTTGGGGGTCTACCTTTCTTCGCCGCTCGGCCGTCGGCAAAAATCGTAGACGACGAACAGCGGGCTGACTACAAGATCAAATGTCGACAAGTTATGAAGTGCACAAGCACACATCGCGCGATATTGACAATCGTGTACATACAGCAGTGCGGCCAATCGAGAGCACAGACGGAGCCTTCGGCCGGGTAACCCGATATTCCATACCCTGCCCCGCGTCCCTGCAACGTGCTTCCAAGAGCCCACCCCCATGTGATGTTTGTACATAGGATAAGCCGCTCGTGGAAATTCACCACATCTTGTGAATACCATGTACTATACGTGTAGACTATAATAGTGGAAAGAGCATGGAAGGCTCCGTGGTTTTTAGTGGTGTGCTTTGTGGAATTGGATGCTTAGTCTACACGCTCTCATCACTTGTACTCGGTACTCGAGACAGCTCCCCGGCCAAAGGACCGGCAAAAACTGTTCCTAACATCATTCACCAAGCGAAGGTATCAGGCAAGAGCTATGTAGTGACCAGGTTTTTCGGCGGAGGTTAGATTGCAAGACGGACATCTATGTGGCCTAGACTATGAAACTGCGATCTGGAACAAGTTTTTGTACGCTGGACTCGCGTGATACTGCAGACAACTCTCACCGCCATGCTCGTGTACACCAAGAGTTGGGGATCTGCCGCCGTGTACGGGGGCCACCCCGCGTTCCACACGACATGCACTATGAACAATGCAGTCGTGACGTCGACAACGGTCGTGGCCCCGATGATCCCGTAGTCCATCGTCCCTAGCGGCGTCCATGCTGGCCCCGCTCCAACGCCGGATATTGTTTCTATCGTCGCCATCAGGACTACTGTAGTTACCTAACAACGACGAAAGGACGTGCCATCACCCCTCGACAACACTCTGTCGAGGTATTAATACCACACGAAGAGGTGCGTCAAAGCTACACGCCGTCTATTTCATTCTTGACCCTCGACGCTTCGCGAAAATATCCTGAAACGCGGCGAGTTTTGTGACCGTTCGGCCTGTTCAGATGCGGCGCAACATCGATAGAGTAGCGTCGGGTATTAACAACCACCCGGGTATGAACCACATTTTTTCAAATTGTTGTTGTTGTTGTTGTTGTTGTTGTTGTTGTCTTCACATGAAAAACCGTTCCGATCTCTCTCTACCCAGTACCTTCGTGTGTCCATACTGACACAACACTCGACGCGGTCGATTCCCGTGGTCGCAGGCTAACTTACCCTAAAAAGGTACACTCAAATAAAATGGCCCCGAGGGGTCCGCAAGTCAATAGAAATCAACGAACGACAGATATTCTGGAGTCCTCCACTCCCTCTGCGCGCTATGCGAGGTAACAACTGAGACTAGGAGTCACCATCACGGGCCGGAGAGAATGAGGTACACCCCCTTGGTTCAATCTTGGTACTTCACAACGCAAGCAGAGACAAGGCCATCTGGCACAGAACAAGAGAGAAAAAGAGAAGAAAAAAAATGCGTAAGTGTTTTTATAATTTGATTTTATTTAGAAAATAAACAAAACAGTGAGGAAACAGAAAATGAAATATAAAGAGCAAGGACAAAAAGGGACCAGGCCAAAAATAACAAGAAATAAGAGACAGAAAAAAGCACACGGTAGAGAGACCACTAACGAGAAGCAAACACGCAAACAACTCGTTGTGTCATATTAAGAAAAAAAAAAAAAACATGGCCACCAACCAGCGATACATTGTAATGGTACGTAATCATTAGTGGGAGGTTGGTGCAATGGTGCAGCAGCGTTGGGGGGGGGGAATTGGCTAAAAGAAATTCAATCCGGCACGTATCACGCCACACGGTCCGTCTCTTCTCGTTTGCTTTGTTCCCTCGTCGTCTTGTCTGTCTCCTGCCCCCCTCCCGCCCCATTGGTTGGTGGCTTGTGGTTCGTTTGAGCGTGGGGTATCTCATTGATACAGTCACGGAGCCCCAATTAGATTTTTTTTTGAAGTTCGCGGAGAGACTAGAGCTTTCGTTGGAGCACTTTAGCGTCGCAATCAGCGACGAGATACAGCAGCAGCACCATCATCCACCGCCGACGCGGGCCATCTTCGGTCTTTTGCTGGTTTTGCTGATAAGTATGGGCCGCCGCCAGGTGGACCCAGAGCAAGCTCGGAAGGCATGTGAAGCAGTTAGAGGTGGCATGAAGATCCGAGAGGCCTCTAGGCTCTTTGGGCTAGATAGGTGGTCCATTAAGAGCCGCCTCGATGGCGCGGTGACCATGAAAGCAAAAGTTGGTCCCGCGACTGTCCTGAGCGAAGAAGAGGAATATTCTCTTAAAGATGTTCTGCTGTACGCTGGCCGTCACTGCTTGGCTGTGGGTCGGCTGCACCTGCTAGAAACCGTCAGACAGCTGTGCAACGACGGTCGCCCGATCCCTTGGGATCCAGGCAAGGGTCCGGGGAAGGACTGGCTAGCTGGCTTCCTCAAGAGGCACCCACGGGTGTCGGAGCGCAAGACTCGCATTTGCGAGCCAAACAGAATCACCGAGGACAAGGAGCCTCGCATCGCCGAGTTCTNATTCTCTTAAAGATGTTCTGCTGTACGCTGGCCGTCACTGCTTGGCTGTGGGTCGGCTGCACCTGCTAGAAACCGTCAGACAGCTGTGCAACGACGGTCGCCCGATCCCTTGGGATCCAGGCAAGGGTCCGGGGAAGGACTGGCTAGCTGGCTTCCTCAAGAGGCACCCACGGGTGTCGGAGCGCAAGACTCGCATTTGCGAGCCAAACAGAATCACCGAGGACAAGGAGCCTCGCATCGCCGAGTTCTACAGGAAGTGGACAGCTCTCCTCGACGAGCACAAGCCGGAGGCCGACCACGTGCAACACGGACGAGACAGGTGATGTACTTGTTGACTAGTCTAGACTAGTGTGGTATCAGTAGAAGCTGCAGTGTGCGAGCTCGTGTGCAAAGACCGCGAAGATAGCATGTCAATATCTTGCGGAGTTCTGGTGTCCGGCCAATTTGTCAAAGATACGGGGCGTCCTTCTGGTGTACCTACGTACTGCTGTGCTCTATCTCACCTGTGCTGTGCGCCCTTGCACCTTGTCCATGTTGCCGAAGTCGACGCTGGCTGTGGTCTCGAGTGGTCTAGAGTATAGTACAGCAGTAGTTCAGACTGCTACCGACACAAATGTACCATAGAGAAAGGGCTGTGTCGCATGGTCTTTATGGCCGATTGTTCCGCATGTCTACACTGCAGAAAGTGTAGCTTGCGGGTACAGCAGGACAGCGTGCATGTGTGTAAATGTACAGCAGACGAGTCTAGTCTAGGACGAGTACCGAGCATGGAATAGGCACACCTTGCTGTTGCTCTTCCTGCTGCTAGTCCAGTCCAACTACCGCCGACGAAAGTAGACAAGGTAGGTGGCAGCTTGCTTCACGAAAAATACATACCCGCCCCGCCCCTTCGGTGAAGCGCGGTCTATCCTTCTAGGAGGGCGGTACTCTGTCCATTGCATTGTGTTTGTGTGTGTGTACACCTTTACATTTTATATCCGCCGTAGCTGGTCACCCCCCTTGACCTCCACCTACGCGATTTGGCTTGCTTCCTCGCGGGTGTAATTAGGTACCACACCGCAAGGCACGAAGACGATGAAGGCCTTCGCGGAGGCAGGGCACAATGTGGTTGAGTCGATGCGGTCCAACTCGCGAGAGAACACCACAGTGGTCACCACGTCACCACCATCAGCGCCAATGGTGCAACGTGGGCGCCAACCATTATCTTCAAAGGACAGCGACTCCAGCCTGACTGNCAATGTGGTTGAGTCGATGCGGTCCAACTCGCGAGAGAACACCACAGTGGTCACCACGTCACCACCATCAGCGCCAATGGTGCAACGTGGGCGCCAACCATTATCTTCAAAGGACAGCGACTCCAGCCTGACTGGTTCGCCGAGAGGAACGGCCCGAAGGATGCGAGGTACACGTGCACGGACTCTTCGTTCATGCAGGGCGACGTGCTCATCAAGTACCTCAAGGACTTCCATATGCAGCTTGACGACCGAGGCGTGCTCGACGGAAAGCCGCACATCCTCGTGCTTGATGGGCATGCCTCACACGTGAGCTACGAGGTCATCAAATTGGCCATGGAACTCAACATCATCCTCCTGCTCTCCCACACGTCGCACATCACCCAGCCGTTGGACGTCGTCGCTTTCGGAACCTTCAAGAAGGAGGTGACTAAAGCGCTGCAAGACTACTATCACGCAAACGGCGGGTTGTTACCGCTGAAGCGTGACGTGCCCGACGTGATCGCGGCGGCTTGGCAAAAGAGCTTTACACCGGAGCGGAACAAAGCATCCTTCGGCGGGGCGGGGCTGTGGCCTGTGGACATGGATCGAGCGCTGACCCGGCTTCAGGGCACGGCGAAGAGGAAAGAGGGGCCGACCGGGCGCCCACCCCTAGAGGATGTCCCCATCGCCATGACCCACGAGCAGCTGGAAGAGGCCATCAGAGAGAGGGGCCTGAGGCAGTTGAAGGCGGGAGGACATACCACTACCGGACTCAAGGTAGGCACGGTGATGCTCGGCGGTCTCCTGACTCAGAGGAAGCGCGCCAAGAAACTGGCGACCTCGCGGGGCTCTTTGGGCCTTCCCGACGGAGGCAACATCAACTCGGAAGAATTCCTGGCAAAGGTTGACGCAAAGGAACGTGCAGACAAGGCAGAGGCCGAGGCGAAAGCGGAAAGTGGCAGGGAGCGCGCAAGGAAGAAGGAAGAGGCGGCCGCGGCGGCGGCGGCGCGGGCACGGCAGGCGAACACGGGGGATAGAGGACGGGTAGGGGGCAGGGGGCGCAACGGGAGCGGGAAGGGCGGGGGGAGGGGGGCGGGGACTGAAGGGCGCGGCGTTAGTGTTAGGCGTGGAGGAGGGCGAGGAGGGCGAGGGGGCGCGGGATGGGTGCGGGACGTGAGGCTACCGGGCAAGGGAGGGGGCGGGAGGCGGCGGGGGGGAGACGCGGCCGAACAGGAGCTGGAAGAGGGGCCTCACCTGGCCGTGGCCAAGGAGCGGCTGCAGCACAAGGGGCGGCTTGGCCCGTTCGCCAGCCGGCACCCTCCTTGTCCCGGGTTGGACGGCAGCGGACGCCGACACCCGTTGTTGACGTGTAGCCGCCTATGAGGCTCTCGATGGATTGTTTTCTATCACACTCAGAGTAGGACGAAACAAGCTATAAAAGTCGTCAGTTTTTACGTGGAGTCGATACGTACCCTCTTGCACGTTGCTTGTTGATAGTAGCGTAGGCAACGGTGGCGTTATAGCATGCCAATGGGACGGCAGGGGGCGGCGGGGGGCGTTTGACCGAAAACCGGGGATGTCTTGATTATGTCGCCGTGTGACCTCCTTTTGTTTTTTTCGCGATAAATGTTTCTCATTCATGTCTGAATGCTCCCTCCAAATTTTATGTCGTGGGGATGTATGAACAGTCCAGAATAGACTATCCAGGGTTAGTGCTGTACGGGGCTGATTCTTGCCCTAGCGGCACGCAAAATACCGAAACTATACCCATTTTTGAACAACTATTTTTTGACCGTGACAACTTCTTTCGGAGTGAATTGTTTTTTCGTGGTCGGCTATTGACAGGANTCTTGCACGTTGCTTGTTGATAGTAGCGTAGGCAACGGTGGCGTTATAGCATGCCAATGGGACGGCAGGGGGCGGCGGGGGGCGTTTGACCGAAAACCGGGGATGTCTTGATTATGTCGCCGTGTGACCTCCTTTTGTTTTTTTCGCGATAAATGTTTCTCATTCATGTCTGAATGCTCCCTCCAAATTTTATGTCGTGGGGATGTATGAACAGTCCAGAATAGACTATCCAGGGTTAGTGCTGTACGGGGCTGATTCTTGCCCTAGCGGCACGCAAAATACCGAAACTATACCCATTTTTGAACAACTATTTTTTGACCGTGACAACTTCTTTCGGAGTGAATTGTTTTTTCGTGGTCGGCTATTGACAGGAGCAACCCGTTTATGCCCCAAACCTATTATTTTTATTCGTGTTCGATGCACATATCACGCCGTACAGGCAAACGGAGGCAAGTCCCGCCTCCACATCTGCGTCAATTACCCGGGGATATCCAATTTTCATCCCCTGGCAGCACCGGAAAAAAACAAAACTTGATTTTTCTTCACGATCATTGTGTTGGGCGCATGTGTGCCAGATCTTGGGTCTTGAAACGGTTTCAAACCCCCGCAATCAACCAATCGTCAAAATGGTTGTTAATACCCCCCGGGCCGTTTTACCCTCAAGATTTCAACTTCAACTTGGGCAAACGGAAACAGTTTTCGTCGTCACTAACGACGTTTTTTTTTTTGGACAGAAAGGTGGTGATGTTGACTATCGTTCGATACCTAAATATCTTCGTAGTTGGTTTTACTGCCGAAGAACGAGCTTTTGGCGCGGGAGGTGGCTTAGGTGGTTGTTAATACCCGCCGCTACTCTACAGGCTACAGGCTACTAGTCTAGCAGGCACAGGCCCGTACATGTAGCGATAAAAATATCTCAGGCATGAAGCGCAGGAGGGGGTCCAACCCCCCCTCCTATGTGACCCCGGTTGGGTCGTCCAGCTACTGTAGTAGAAGTGGAGGATGGGGGCCAGAGGGGCAGACGACAGAGTCCAATGATACATAGCACGGCTGCATACCGCAGACACCGCAATGAGCCTGTTGCCTACAGGGGAAATATCGCTGCTGCTGCTCGGGGACTAGTAGAAACACAGGTTGGGTCATTGTACAACGGTATGAATTCAGTGCTACAGTAGTCGATCCTGGACTCCTTTCTCTAGGAAGAGCTTGGTTCATTGCGGTCGTACATGGAGTCTGTAGACATTTCACGAGAGACGTGACCGTGAACCAGCATGTAACTAAGTCTTCTACATGAAGAAAGATTATTTATTTTGCCGTCAAACATACAACAGATTTCGGACACGTTCATGTGTGTGTTCAGATCGTTCTTAGTTTCCGCCCACGGCCATCGACCGACGAATTGAAGCATGCATACAAGTGGGTGTGTTGTTGTTGTTGTTGTTTCTCACGATAGCTCTATAGTCCACAAAATATAGGGAGCCCATGGTCTTAACCGGCACACACGACGCCGCGGGGAAACAAAACAAAAATAGGGTACAAACCACTCGGAAAAGAATACCCGACAAACCGAGTTCCCCTAAATCTTTCGTCTACAACCTCCCAACATAACATACATAACATACAGATAGATACACAAGATGGCTACCAAACTGCCTTGTTGAGCCTGTTACCCACAAGGGAGATATCGTTGTATGCTGTCTGGGAAACCGTAGACATACAAGTAGCTTTTCGCTCAGGCTATGGATTCATTGCAAATCTATCTTAGACTTATTTCCGTAGATAGAGATGGATTTGTTGTGTGATATCAAGAAGAAAAAAAAAACATGATGGAAAGAAAATAACAGGTACCGCACCGACCGTTCGAGAAAAGAGCCCTCGGAAACCGATCAAAATAAAACAAACACAAAAATAAAGGAGAACGCTTCCCACACCCGCCTAAAGCAAAAATCAAAGGGTGACGTACCAGCACCAGGCACTACGCACCAGGGCATGGGGGTAATGGAGCAAACAGGACAAAGAGGAGACAGATGGGCAGACAGCCAGATGTACAAAACAAAAGCAACAGCAAAAAAAGCGAGATCAAGGTACCCAGCACAGCAGAGTAGGCAGGGAGGACATGACAAAAAAGCAACACAGCACAGAGGCTGAAGGCAATACAAAGGACATACACAAAGGAGTTTGCGTACAGCAGGGAGGGAAACAGGACGCAACAACATCAGCCGGGTACATAGTTCACCAGAGTGCTGCCTCGGCCGCCCTTCTCGCTTCTACAGCAGTGCCCGGTCGCCGTTTCTTCCCCCCCACCGCCGCTTCCCCGGCTCTCTTTCTCTTCGGTCGTGAGATGGCCGTACTCTCTTCTTCTGCTTCCCTCGCGCGCTGGCGCTTCGCGGACGCTTTCGCCTCCTGCCCGTGTTATTTCCTCATGAGCCATGCCGCCCCGTCCTCGACCTTGTTGTACCACACCTCCGTGTCCTTGGCGCTCGCCTTTCATTTACCCCCTTCCTTTTCGTCTCGCACGTTCGAGGCCACGAGGTCCTCTCGTAGACGATACACCCAGTCGCTCTCCTGCCCGCCCCGGTATCCCACGCCCCCCGCCATCGTTCCTAACAGCATGCGCTTGGGGAGGCGGTTGTCCTCTATGTGCATGACGAAGCCCGCGAAACACAGTCTCCGTTTGCGCACGGTGGCCTCGATGTTTTCCTCGCAGCCTGCCTGGATGAGGGCCTGGGCATAGGACAGGGGGCGGTCTGAGCGTTTCCGCTTGCTCCAGCCGATGCACCGTGTAAGGAACTGGCGGTGGGTCCCATTGAGCTTCGTGTAGTGCTCCGCTGTTAGGCTTCACGAGGCGCACCCATATAGGAGAGTCTCCACCACTTCAGCCCGGAGTAGCCGGATCTTGAGCTGGGGGTCAGCCCGTCGCCTGTCGTACATCGAAGCACTGTTCCGGCGGTAACGCTTCCACGCTCGGCAGCTGCGGCTCGTGATCTCTCGGTCGGCCTTCCCGTCCGCGGAGATGGTACGTCCGAGGTACACAAACCGATCTG